GATAACATTTCATAGATCAAATTCAAGTAAACCCAAAAAATGGCCTCAGCAATAATACAAGATGTAGGAACTTCTCCACTGTCTCACCCTGACACATTAATCCACAGCATCTTGCCCTCTACCTGCCATCCTGTTACTATTACTAACTCCAGTACTGCCACTGTTCGTGTTCCAGTTACCGTGCCCAAACCCATTCTTGCCTCTGCTGTCACCATCACTGCCATTGCTCACATCATCACCATCACCAGAAACCTCACCTCCACCTCCACCCTCACCATCTCCCTAGCTACACATTCTTCAGCTCACGATGGGACCCTGCCTGGACAAGCACTGCCAACAGAAAATAACCTAAGGTGAAAAAGAATCTACATTTAACGCGTGGACCATCATAGTTTAGGGGCACAGTGGAAGAGGATATGGTGCTACCTATGGTTAGCCTGAGTAGAAATGAAAATGTAAAATCCAACCAGTCTGTTGGTGAAGGCCTGTAATGTCACCTACTTAGGCGACTGAGGCAAGAAGATAGCCTGGGTGACTTAGCTAGACCCTGACTCAAAAAAAAAAAAAAAAAGAAAAGAAAAAGAAAAAAAGAAAGAAGCTGAACACATAACTTAGTGATAAAATAATTGCCTAGCATGAATGAAGCCCTATGTTCAATCTTTAGTGATTTGAAAAACAGAACAAAAGTAAAAATAAAACAAAATTCAGGAACTATGGCTTCAACAGTATGTATATCACACTTGAACCACTGTAACCATGAGAGTTCTGTATTGAACCATCTTAAGTCAAGGACCTTGTAAGGTTGGGGAGAAGGAAAGACAGACAAGGGAGTGAGTAACTCAGTGACAGCATAGGTTTTATCAGGGAGAAGACCTGCAGAGGGGTTTCTACTCTAAGAAAACCAGAGCTGCTTTCTGCTTAGAGACTGGGATAGTTGAAGAGCAGAAGAGGGAAAAAGAGAAAGGAACCGAAAGTCTTTACTGTAGGACCCACATTGACTGATGCTAGGGCTACCTAGGGAAACAAGGTGGGTTAAAGAGTGTGGGATTTGAAAAAAAAAAGAATGTCAGGTAATCAACAGACATCTTCTGTGGGGGTGGGTGGTGGTAGTCAGTAGGATGGCAACAGAAAGAATCTAGATTAACACATTTAGTTCTAGGAACAAAATTATTTTGGTTTTAGGAATTGTCATTGTTTGACCAAAATGAAAGAGTTTCACAAAATGGCTATGGTCAACAACCATCTGTATTTCCAACTGTTATTTCTACCATTGTCTCTTCATTATCTCCATTGCCTTCACCATCCCTTTCATCACCACCATCCCTCCAAAGTTCAGTGCCTGTTGTGTAGCAGTTTCCTCCCGGATAAAACATTCCCTCTTGGAGGGAAGTTCATTATAATGATGTCCATGAAATATTCTATTCAGCAGGAAAACTTGAAGTAAACAACTCAGTAGATTCAGGAAGTTCCTGAAACTGACCAAAAGTACTAGATCCCTGCCCTCCTCCCCAAGTCTATATAAACAGTAAAGACTGCTAAAAGACACCCTCCAACAAGCCGGCCTGTCTGAAGAGGCAAAGACCACTGGGCTTCCTAGAAGGGGGGCTCAGACCAACTTAATCTACCTGGAAGAAACACTCTCCAATCTGTTGAACTACCTGCAAATTGTTTCCAGTTTTCATGAGTTCTTCACCCATGCTGGGGTAGACTTTGGTGATGCAACTTTCTTGGAGTCATTTCTGCTCCTGTAAGTAAGCCCTCAACCATATTTCTGTAAATACCCCCAATAAACTCATTGGTCCACCAAATGAACTTTGGTGGTATCCTTACTTGGGTCTGGCATTAGTTTCTGTCTGGGTGAGCAGACTTTTGCTCCTGTCTCCCTAGGAGCACCAATTGGAATTTTGCAGTCATCAGTTCCCTACCTTGGGTGAGTAGGTTTGTTCATTGCTCTCTAGGAATAGTATCATACAACAGTGTCTAGCATTTAAACTAAAACTTGGACCAGGACCCATCAGAAAACATCCTGCCAGGATGATAGACACACCCAGACTTTTCAGAGCCGAGGATCAGCAAGCCAGGTGTCTAAACAATCTCCCCTCTTGACCTGAAAGCTGACCCTTCCACAGGATGCTTCTAACAGGAGTTCATTCAGCCCTGTCAGCTGTGCTTATCCCTAAAGAGACAGCTGCTGCCTGGTTGAAGGATAGGGGCCATTAATCTGGGGCTGCCCTTGTTTGCATAATTGTTGCATGCATTTGCATCTATTTGCTCCCAGCCTCTGAATACTGCACTGTGGGTGTTTGGTTACCATTTGCATATCACTGCAGGTGAGGGTCAGGTCTTTAAGACTTGTGTGCTTATTAATTCCCCACCTCCAAGAGATTCTTTTATGTGGTAGTTCAGAAAAACCTTGGGATGCTTATTTCTAGAATGATCCTGGGGAGTGCCATATAGGTGGAGGGGTAGGGAAGCTCCAGGGCCTGCCAGTGTGCCATGCTGAAGTTCCTGCTATCCTCTGCTAACAGACCCTGGATGCTGCTTCCCCATCTCTCCACCTAGCCATGCATACCCACCTATTCCTGGGCCCCAGGATTTGCTGCTTCAGATTCCATGCATGCACTTTCAGCCCCCTCAAGACTTCTGCTCATTCCTGCAGACTGACTTCTTAGGAACCGCAGAGACCCAGCCTAGCAAGCTCCCAACATCCACCAGATTCCTCCCCTCCCATCCTGAAGAATGAATGTTCAGAGAGCCTGAACTTGATAGAATGGGTATGACTATGAGGGGTCTTCCCCCAAATTTACTAAGGAAATAATAACTGGCTTACAGAAGGAAAAAAGGAGATAGATGAAATCTCCTGAACACCTTTACCTAACAGACTAGACTCTTCAGCATCTAAGCCCACTTGTGAGTCCTTAATTACTGAACAGTAAGAGAGGGTAGCAGATCCTGAGGTAAACCAGAAGGAGCCCCAAGAATCATTGTAAAGATACCTGATCCCCACTCAATTCTAAGTGCCATAGGAACAGTACTTGTGTCTCTTTCATCCAAACAGTTGAAACTTAGACAGCAGACAGCTCCCAATTAATATCATCATTTATGTTGGTGTCCCCTCAGATTCATATAGTTGAATTTAGGAGGTGGGTCTCCAGGGGAATGCTTGCCATGAGGCCTCCACCTTTATGAGTGGGATTAGCACCCTAATGAAAAGAGGGGCTGGGAATGTAGCTCATTGGTAGAGTGCTTGCCTAGAATGTGTGAGGCCCTGGGTTTGATTCTCAGTACTGCATAAACCAGGCTTGGTGGCATACACCTGTCATCCCAGCACTGAGGAGGTAGGAGCTGGGGGAGTAAAAGTTTGCTAAACTACATAAGGAGTTTCAGGACAGCCTGGGCTATATGAGTCACTGTTTTAAACAACAAAAATAAACAGCTAAACAGAGTTTGAAGGGAGCTGCCCTCCTCTCCTTTGCCATCATGTGGGGATACTAAAGCCCTGTCAGGAAGAGAGAACACACCACACATAAATTCAACCAGCATCTTGTGTTGGAACCCTTAATCCCACAGATGTGAGGAAAGAGACCATTGACACACATCATGGCCAAATTAGTTAAAGCAAGCAATTAAAGCAAGTTTATTTTTTTATTCATGTATACAGGCTGCCTCCCCCTGTTCAGGAGGGTACAGGAGGTCAGCCTTGGACATGGGGGAAGATGAGGCTTTGTTTGTTTGTTTTTGTTTTTTGAGACAGGGTTTCTCTGTGGTTTTGGAGGCTCTCCTGGAACTAGCTCTTGTAGACCACACTGGTCTCAAACTCACAGAGATCTGCCTGCCTCTCCCTCCCAAGTGCTGGGATTAAAGGCGTGCACCACCACTGCCCAGCAAGATAGGGCTTTTATAGCTCGGAGGTAGGGTGTTTCCAAATGGGGGATTTGGCAGGAAAATAGGCAGGTTTATAGAAACAGACTACAACAAGGTGGTCATAGCAGGGTAGTCATAACAACAGGCTATGGCAGAGGAGGGGGGAGCTCCAAAGACCTCTGTGTCCTGTCCTGCCCCCAATCTCAAGCTTGATCTGCACCTGGATTGTTCAGTGTCCAGGCTTGAACCTCCTCATCTTTAAGACCTCACAGAGATTTCAAAGTGTTCTCCAGTAGGGCAGAAGATCCTTGAAGGGACTATCCAAAGGATGTAGAATTCTCAATAGGGATCGTAGCAAGAGGGCTCTGGAATCACCACCCTTACTTCAATCAAGGGGGGAAGACTGTAACCATCAGGCTCCAGAAATTTTTTAAAAAATAATTTATTTATATATTTAAAAACTTTGTGTGCATGCCTGTGTGTGTGTGTGTGTGTGCATGCCTGTGTGTGTGTGTGTGTGTGTGTGTGTGTGTGTGTGTGTGTGTGTGTACATATGTGGTGAATGCATCCATACCACAGTATATATTTGGCAAGGGCAACTATTGGGATTCAGTTATGCCCTTCCACCATGTGAGTCTCGGGGATCAAGCTCAAGTTGTCAAGCTTGAAGGTTAAGTGCTTTACCCTCTGAGTCGTCTTGACAACCTCTAGTGCCTTTTACAATATGATTGTGGGATTTTTTTTCTTTTTTGGTTTTTCGAGACAGGGTTTGGAGGCTGTCCTGGAACCAGCTCTTATAGAACAGGCTGGTCTTGAACTCACAGACATCTTCCTGCTTTTGCCTCCAGAGTGCTGGGATTAAAAGTGTGCACCACCACTTCCCTGTACAACAGGATTGTGGGGTTGGAGAGGTGGCTCAGTGGTTGAGAGCACATTATACTCTTCCAGAGGATGTGGGTTTGGTTTCCAACATCCTATTGGATGGCTCACAACTGCCTGTAATTCTAGCTCCACTGGATCTGTTGTCTTCTTTTGGCCTCCTTGGGCACTTGTGCTCACATACAGTACCCACACATAGACACTCACATACATACTCATATAACTAAAAATAAAAATACATGGTTGGGAGTCATGTCTTAGAATTGCTGAGATTTTTTTATTCTTGAGCTTAGTAATAATGTGTGTCTATTCTAACCAAAAGTCATGGGCTTAACTTATACTACCAAGTTCAAGGACCATGGAAGAGTATGCATCTGCTGTTCAGTGCCAAGTTTAAGTCAGGAAAATGTTTTACTCTATATGGTTATTTAGGAAAATAAAAAGCATAGTTTCCTTCATGGAGAACTGTTTTCCATGCAAGAATGCTATCTTGCCTTGTCTTGAGAACACAGAGCTGAAGAGAGCACAGCACATGAATTCACCCACAAGCTTTGCTGATGACAAGCGCTCTCTTCTTATCCAGGCAGAGGAAACATTGTTGGTGGTACAGGGCTCCACTATTCAGAGCCTCCGCCTCCTTAAAAAACAACAGCTAAATGACTCAGAGTCAACCATAGATGGGAGACTGTCACTTGAGAGGAGAAGACCAGAAAATACAGAGAGGCGGAATACCTTCTGAGTGGTGGTCACTGAGCCTGACATTTTAAAAGCAGGAAAGAGAGGTGTTGTTGGCTGGAGAATGGGAAAGATGTTGCCTCACCCCCAGGGCCAGGGTCTGCAGCAAAACCAATGGACCCACCAGATTTGCTGAAAAAATGTGGCACCTGAGTGTGTGTGTGTGTGTGTGTGTGTGTGTGTGTGTGTGTGTGCCTATGTGCCTATGTGCAACTTTGGGGCACCTAGCCAACCCAAAGCCCTCTGTAGGTCCATCCCCTTCTCCATGCCTACTGGCACTATGGCTCACCAGAGCCTTGGTAGGTTGGACATGGAGCTTGAAGCCTATGGCATGCCTCTTGCTTCAGGAGAGAGCAGTTTCCTGAGCAAGGACAGAATGAAGTCTCAGGAGAGGATGGGGGAAGGCTGGGAATCCTGGCTTCCACCAACGAGACACTTGGAGGTGGAGGATAAAGGTAGAGTTATGAGGGGGACTTTGAGACCAGGAGGGGAACAGTCTGATGGTCAGAGGTTTGGGTTAGTCCGTCCATCGTTGGCGGGAAGCCTGGGGGTGGGAGAGAATCTGAGGACTATGTTGAGAGTAAAGGGATTGTGAGGACAGATGTAAAGGCTAGAGCTCCCTCCCCTTAGAACTAGATGTAGGAATCTCTGTGTGTTCACTCAGAGTTGGTCCTCTCCTACCCATTTGCTTTCAGGTGTGGACCTCTGAAGACCTATCACTTGTGAAGAGTGGCTGTCCCACACCGTCCTGTCCCAGGGTGCCTTCTCCATAGCCTTACAGCGGATGCTCACTTACTATATTGTCTCGACCATCATGCACTCCAAGGTCAAGGAAGACATGTGACCACCACAAACCAATACTGCAGAGGCTGTTTCAACGGTGTTATGTTGTTTATGCCCTCACACCAATACTCATTGAACTTGATCCTGACCCCATTATTGAAGAATTGCCTTCATCCAGTCCATTGAGGGCATGTGTCCATTGTGAGTGTCCATGTTCTCAGAAAAAGAAATCCTTTAATGGCTGAGGAATCTGGGGATGAGGAGAGTCATGAAGGTGTGATTTAGACAGACACTATCTGACTTGACACTCACTCTTCAATCTGTCCAGCCAGGGACATTCTCCTGAGTCTCTGGGGGTCCAGGTTTGTACTTGGACCCCCCTGGGAAGGAGACAGTGAAATGAAGGCTGTGAGCCCAGGAATCAGACTGCCTGTGAGGATATCAACAATGAGAAGACCATGCAGAACTACTTCTGTAGGCTAGTGGGAGGGAGCACGGCACAGATGGTCTCTGAAGCCAAGTGTGGCTGCTACAGCCTGGGCGTAGGAAACCAGGGAAGGCTTCTTGGAGGCGGAATAAAGGAAGAGGACCAGAGGAGAAGGAAGAGGAAAGCAAATCACTGGGCAACTTACCTCCTTTTGCATGAGCTCAGCAAAAACCATGCAGGCAGCAGAGATCAGCTCATCAGCATCAAGGTCGATGAGGTTGTTGCAGGCCTAGGAGGGAGATGCATGTGGTGTGTGTGTGTGTGTGTGTGTGTGTGTGTGTGTGTGTGTGTGTGTGTAAGCAAACACCTCTCCTGTGCTTTTGGGCAAGGGAGCACAAAGCTAAGAAAGCTACTACTCACAGGGGAGCACCTGATGTCTCCCCATCCCATCACAATGCCTGCAAATTGTATGCTTTGGGGGAATAGTAAGCATAGTCTTCACACAGGGGTCTAGGAAGCCCTGGCATTCTGCCACGTGTCTAAAGCTCCTAAGGAAGACCTGGTTTATGATTGGGGTATCACCCAAGTTTTCTTCTTGTACTTCACCTGGGTTTTAAGCATGTCTGAAAACCTCAGGCCCTTTTGCGACATGGTCAGGGGCTAACTTCAAGGCAGTGGAGTCTAATGATTAGACCATTTAAGGCTTCAGTTTCCTCACAGGCTTACTTGCATGGTAAACCAATGCAGCCTCTGTCACTGTCACAGGGCCTTCAGAGCTAGTCTATTAAGAACCATCAGTATGGAACCCCATACTTGTTGAATGCAGCTCTCATCACTGTTCCCTTCTGGAGGCAAAAGTGTCCGTAAGCTAGCATACCTTCTATGAAATGGGTACAGGGATCCAGCTCTAGAGGCTGGAGAGGGACTGGGCTGAGGGTGCTCACCAGGAGGATGGCATCACCACTCATGCTCTCCAGCAGTGCCTGCTCACGCACCATCTGTAGCATGCTGTAGGCCACCAGCACCTGGAAATTCCTGCAAGGCTTCCCTGTCAGCAGGACCTGTGGGCAGCCAGCAGGTCTCAGTACGGTGGCCTGAGGCCAGGACACCCTGAGGGTAGCAAGCTATCACAAACTGCATACTCAGAACAAGGTATAGAGAAACTAGAATTTGTGTGGGAGCTCAGAAACCCAGGGTTTCCCCAAAAGTCAGTAGAGGTGCTATATTAGATTTGGGTGTGGGGAATGGCAGGTGGGAGCTGGATCGTGGGATAGTGCACGCCAGGCTGGCAGTCGGGCTGGGGCCTCCAATTAGGAACAGCTGTGAGGCAGGACAGCAACAGGTGATGGGTTTGTTCCTAAGGAGGATCATCTGCTGATGGCCCTTGGGACTGTGGTTGGAGGACTACAGGTGTCCTGGGAGCCTGCCTTGGCGGAAATCAGATTCTAAAAGAGGTCAGCATTCTAGGGGAAGGGAAGGCCAAGGTCAGGCAGCGAAAGGTAGCAGAGAGCAGGGGCAGGGTGGCTGAGCTGCAGGCCAGCCCAGGAGCATCAGCAGGGGCCCCTGAGCTTACTGCCCTGCAGATGGTCAATGGAGTCTGGCATCAGAACTGACGCACAGAAACTCTAGCATTCATCCTCCAGTAAGGAGGGAGTGGGGTTGCTGACCCAGTTAAACCCCAGACCACCGAGCACCTCCAAGGCCAGGAAGAAAGGGAAGCAGGAAAGCACGTGGCTTCCCCTCCTGAGGCAGGAGGGTACAGTCCATATCAAGTGTCCCCAGCTGCATGCACCTCACCTCCCAAAGCCTCCAGACGTCATCAAAGGATTTGAAGGCACGCTGGAAGCAGAGGCAGAACCAGGGGAAGAGGGACTGCACAGCGCCTGAGCCCTTCCCTTCTGCAAGGAGAGAGGCAAGCGCTTAAGGTACCGCACAGGTAAGGCCACACAACAGAGCGTGCGGGATATGGGAAACATGAAAACTCTGGCTGCTGCTTTCCCAGCAAGCCCTGGTCTGTTTGGAGCAGACGTTCAACGTCACAGACTCAGGCTCCTCCACGTACTCCCCTCCCCAGGCCTGAGTATGTCTGCCATGGGCCTTGGTCCTCCCATAGCCTACCTGTTGTTGTGGGAAGTAGTAATAACTGTGGACCACTCACTGAGGTGTTCAGAAAATTCAGGGTCCAGTAAAGCAATCAGATTGTTGAGCATATGCAGGTTCTTGCCTACCCCGATGTTGATGACACAGCTGTGCTCCTGTAAAAGATGGGACCAGAGAACAGTCCTCCTCAGTTCAACTTGAGGACGTTACAGAACCAACCAAGCCCACTTCTCAGTCCCCATTCTGAGAAGCGATGTGTCTGGTTCATCGTGTGTGTGTGTGTGTGTGTGTGTGAGAGAGAGAGAGAGAGAGAGAGAGAGAGAGAGAGAGAGAGAGAGAGAGGGAGGGAGGGAGGGAGGGAGGGAGGGAGGGAGGGAGGGAGGGAGGGAGGGAGGGAGGGAGAGAGAGAGAGAGAGAGAGAGAGAGAGAGAGAGAGAGAGAGAGAGAGAGGGAGAGAGAGAGAGATCTGGTCCATGTGTACAGCCTATTTGCATATGTGTACATCTCTGGGCAGTCTTGTATTCATGTGCATCTTAACATATGGGAATGGGATGGTGCAGCAGAGGTGTACCATATGTGACCATGAGCCCAGCTATTGGGTCAGAGTCTAGAAGGAAGTTCAGCAAGTATGTTTTTGGAGAGGTACAAAGAGAGGTAGGGGGTGTGGGAAGCTTCTAGGAGGTGACAAAGGAAATCTTCCTAGATGGTAAACCCTTCATCCTGGGTGTAGAGTAGGGTACAGCCCGGACCTCCATGGTGTCTGGCCTATAGGTCATGTGGAGGAAACGGGAGGCAGGAAGTCACAAGAGCTCTGCAGGCAGATTTGTGTATGAGGAGTGAAAGGCCAGCAGGGGGTGCCACCACTGGGCCTGGTGAGAGTGGCACTCTGAATAACCCTTCTGAACTCTAAGGCCTCTCCCGCCCACTCCCTGACCTACAGGATGTTTGGGGGCTGGAGGAAGTGGCTGAGGCTGTCGGTGCATTGGCTTGGTGGGTGGTGAGGAGTAGGAAATTTGAGCCCGGCTTAGTCCTCACTGTTTTCTGCAGGAAGAACTGGAAGAGCCAGAAGGTCTCATGGTCGTGCTCAACCATCAGCTGGAAAAGCATCACCATCTCATGGAAGCCTCGTTGGTACTCTGCAGGGGAGGCGCCCGTAAGGAGAAGACAGTGGGCACTGGCCCAGGGTCCAGGAAGGAGCTGGAAGCATGGGCTGGGGCCCCACCCTCCACTCACCAGCCTTTGTGTTGCAGACATAACTCAGCAGTAGGGTCTTCTCCAGTTTCTTCTTGTCCACAAGCACATTGCCCAGGGGATCCTTGTCATAGAGTTTCTGAATGTCATATGCTAGGTTAGAGCAAGGGATAGGAGGTGACACTTGATTATCTCCAGCACAGAAAGCATGAATGAATTCATCTCCATCCTTTGAGGACAGGTCCTCCCCCTCAAAAAAAAATCCTAGTTGGGAGGTACTACAAAAGTCATGTCAGCACCACCAAGCTGGTATTGACTCCTCCTTACCTCCAAGTCTTTGACCAGACCAAAGCCTTTGTCAAGGAATGCTTCTCCCCATCCAATTCAGATCTAATCTAGTTCAAAGTCATGGGGGCGGGGGCAGGAATCAAAGCAACAGGGACAGAATACCCATGGGCATGGGTGGGTGGATTGACCCAGGTTTGGCTAGGAAAATTCCAGGCCAAAGTCAAACCCCAGGAGTCCCCTGTGCCTAGAAATGACTAGGAAAAGACCTGAATGGCAACTGCCCTCTCCTCTAGCCAGCCCTCCCCACTTCCTCTGCTCACCAATATTGTTCCGAGTCTCTGTGAAGTTCCCATGCAAGTTTTCTAGCAGGGGCCGGATTTTCTCATACATCTGGCACAAGGCTTTGTAGTTCCTCCTGAGAGAACACACCGGGGCTGAGTAAGGAGGCCTTCCCCTCTCAAGAAGGGAGCAGCAGCGGGTGCTGAGCTCAAGGGGAGCAGGGTAGCCTTGCCCAGCTGGTCCCCACATGGTCCCCACCAGCGGTGCTTTCTCCCACCTCAGCCTGAGCCGATGCTTTCCAACATGCTGCTGGCACACAGTGTGGAGACAGCTTAATGTGGGGTGGGCTCTGTGGTCCAATGGTAGCACCCATCCCTGGAGCCACCACTTAACAACGGAGTGTCTGCAGAGGGACGCCAGCCTCCCTCTCTCTAAGCCTCAGTTTCCTCATCTTATGCTGATCACTGCAGTTTGATTAGTGGGTGCAGTGATTCTAAAAGTAATTGTGTCCTGGGTCTCACACCTACACCCTGTAACACTGGCTTATTTGTAGAAGGGGTCTTTTCCAGTGGGATGAAGGATCTCAGTATGTGATCATTCTGGGCTTTCCGGGGAGACCCTAAATCAAACCACAACTGCCTGTATAAGAGACACACCCAGAGGAGGGAGAGCCCTTGTCCACAGAGACAGAACATGAATGGATGTAGCCTCAAGCCAAGGAAGCTTCTGTGGGAGGTGTGAAGACTTTCTGTCTCTCAGAGCCTTCTCAGGAGGCCAGCAAGCAAGCTAGTCTACTCCCTCTGGAATGTCAGAGGGAAAATGGCTAATACTATCAACCACCCTGTTCAGGGCACTTTGTTCGTTGGTGGCTTTTTGCCTCAGCAATCATGTGTGACACACACACAAGGCCTGGTCCCTGGTTTGGTACCTAGTCTGCCACTCACATCCCCACTGTCCCAGACTATTCTCATTTGTCCCTGTGTAAGTTGTCTTTTCCACATCTTGGCTGGGAGCTGCTTTGAGGCTGAGCTCAGCTGCTCCAAGTCCAAAGCCTTGGTCAGGTAGCCAAAGATAAACACCTCTAAGAAGGAAGCAATCCACTGTGGGGCCATTCAGAGCCAGTAGATCTCAAACGCTCACATGGACAGGTGAGGCCTGCACTGAGCAGAAAAAAGGTGATTTGGGAGGACTCGGACACTTCCCTAGTGTGTGCTCCACCTTGGAGCAAAGAGGCATGCACCAGGCTCAACAGGTCCAAGCCCCAGGGTGTTACAGAAGCGAAAATCACAGCTTCTGGATTTGGGGAGCATCCCTACCAACATGAACCCTAGCTGTTCTTCCCCTGTGTATAGTGACATGCCTGTTTCTATAATTAGATCTTTGTAGCTACTCTGTGAACTGTATTGTGACCTGCATTTGACAGAGAAGGAGACTGGGCCTTCAGCAGGGAAGTTCGTAGCCAAGTTTACTGAGTGTGATGTTAACACTAGAATTTGAATTGAATCCACTCCTAAAACTAAGGCTATTCCGAGTTCAAAGCCTGTGTATATTTACCTGCAGGAGGAAGTTTAGACTGAAGGAAGTGCCCCGTTTGTTCCTGACCTTGAAGCAAGGATGGAATTTTTGCATTTATTTATTCAGTGTGTGTGTGTGTGTAACATTTGTGGAGGTAAGACGACAATTTGTGAGAGTCCCTTCTCTCCATCCACCATGGGATTGATCTCAGATTATCAGAGTTTGTGGCAAGTGCCTTTATCCCCTGAGCAATCCCTTTGGCCCAAAGATGGGGTTTTGGAGACAGCTATTAGGGAGAGCAGTGTGGGTGGAGACAGAAAGTGAACCAAGAGCAGAGGGTGTATGCAAAGAACACCCAGTCTGCTAGAGTCGGGTGGTTGAGCTGATGGAGAGTCACTATGCTGGTCAGTTTTACATCAACTTGACACAGGCCAGAGTCATTTCAGAAGAAGGAACCTTCATTAAGAAAATGTTTCAACCAGGCAGTGGTGGTGCACACTTTTAATCCCAGCTCTCGGGAGGCAGAGGCAGGCCGATCTCTGTGAGTTTGAGGGCCAGCCTGGTCTACAGAGTGAGTTCCAGGACAGCCTCCAAAACAATACAGAGAAACCCTGTCTTGAAAAAACAAAAAAACAAAAAAAAAAAAAAAGGAAAAAAGGAAGGAAGGAAATACTCCCATCAGATTGGTCTGTGGGCAAGCCTGTCATGCATTTTCTTGATGAATGATTGATGTGGGAGGGCCCAGCTCACTGTGGGAGGTGCCACCTCTGGGCTGGTCCTAGGGGCTACAAAGAAATCAGATTGAGCAAGATGTGAGGACCAACCCCACATCTGACAGAGGGCTGATCTTCAAAATTTACAAAGAACTCAAGAAGCTACTCTCCAAAGGACCCAATTAAAAAGTAGGGGACTGAGCTAAATAGAGACTTCTCAATAGAGGAGTCTAAAATGGCTGAGAGACACTTAAGAAAGTTAGCCATTAGGGAAATGCAAATCAAAACAACCCTGAGATATCATCTTACTCGTGTCAGAATGTCTAAAATCAAAAAAGCCACTGACAGCTTATGCTGGAGAGGATGTGGAGAAAGGGGAACACTCCTCCACTGCTGGCGGGAGTGCAAGAGCTCCTGAGCAGATTGGGAACATGGGGGGAGAGGAGAGGGAACCAGGGAAAAGAGAGGGGGGTAAGAGGAGGGTAGAAGATGACATGGGGGAGCAGGAAGGTTGAGTCGGGGTAAGAATAGAGGAGACCAGAATGAGAGATACCATAATAATTGGAGTCATTATAGCTTTGAGGAGAGAGCTGACACTAGTGAGATTTCCAGAGATCTACAAGGATAACACCAACTGGAAAACTAAGTAATATCGGAGAGACTACATTAATAGTCCCTACCTGATGATAAGCTTGGTGACTACCTTATATGACATCCTAGAACCTTCATTCACTGATTGATGGAAGCAGAGACAGATACTCACAGCTAAACACTGAACTGACCCCCCTGGAACCTAGTGACAGAGATGGAGGAGTGATGAGCAAAGGGGTCAAGACCATGCTGGTGAAACCCACAAAGACAGCTGATTGGATAAGGGGGAGCTCTTGAACCCCAGACTGACGGCTAAGAGATCAACAGGGGACTGATCCAGACTCCATGAATGTAGTGTCAGTGAGGAGGCCTCAGAAATCTCTGGGGCCTTGGGTAGTAGATTAGTGTTCACCATGGCATACAAATGAACTTTGGGAGCCCATTACACATGGAGGGATGCTCTCTCAGCCTGGACGCATGGGGAAGGGCCTAGGTCCTGCCCTGGATGAAATGACAGACTCTGGAACCCCCCCCCCAAGGAGGGCCTCACCCTCCCTGGGGAAAGATGTGGGGACTGGGCTAGGGGTGGGGGTGGGGGTGGGGCTGGTAGAGGGACAAGGGGAGGGAGCTGGGATTCACATTTGAAGCATGCATGTTTCTAATTTAAATTTTAAAAAAAGATGTGAGGACCAAGCCAGTAAACAGCATTCCTTCACGGCCTCTGTATCAGCTCCTGCCTCCTGGCTCCTGCCCTGACTGCCCTCAGTGATAGACTGCAATGTGGAACTGTAAGCCCCCCCAAACAAAACCTCTCCTCCCCAAGTTGCTTTTGGCCATGGTGTTTCATCACAGCAGTAGAAATCTAAGATAGTCCCTCAGGGATGGTCAGGGATGGTCAGATGGAGGGTGCTGGGATGGGAGAGCCGGGATTAAGAGGAAATAGGCTATGTGAAACGTCAGCAGACACACATGTCTCTGGGATTGTTTAACCTGAGGACATGTGCAGCCCGTGCAGGGCACCAGGAGGAGAAACGGATCGTAGACTCAGGAAGCAGTTATGCCATGGGGTTTTGGGGTGGCAGTTGGCAGGAAGAGGACTGGGGCCAAGGAAAGAAAGTTCCTAGGGTCCTTCACAGGTAGGCTGTGCAGGGAAGGCTGAGGTTGGGAACGAGGCGATCAGGGGAATTTCCAGACAAGCCCCTGCCTGCAACTGCTATTTTGGTCAATGCAACTGGAGAGGAGGTGCCTGCTTAAACCTGGCTACACCTGCTGTATGTGGGTCCTGTGTGGGAAGCACCGGGAGTCTTCTCAGAATAAGTTATTCACATGAAGAAGAAACTTGAACCTCTAGGCCAAGAGGGTGCCCCTCCCCTGAAGCCTCAACAACTCTCCACTGAAAGAGGTTCTGGAAAGTACTACCTCCTGTTGGTGTCCACCATGAGCCGCTCGTCCCGGGAACTCTGCCATGAGTAGTAGCCTGTGAGGAACTTCCAGGCTTCCGTCCTCACAAAGGGGTGTAGACCCTAGGCATGGGAGGTCATGAACTCTCAAGATGCCCAATGTTGTACCTGATCCCTACCATCTGTGCCACCCCCTAAGTGCCAGGGCAAGGCCGAGGGTAGCCTGGGAATAATACCCTTTCCAGGATGTTAACACAAATGAAGTCCCGAGTTTTGGCCAAGTGACCGTTCTCGTCGAAGAAGCTGTCCCATTCCGTCTTGTCAATGGGAGGGTTTCTCTTCTCCTGGCAATGACAACCAGAGTGATCCTCTGTTAGAGGCTTTGGGCTTTCCTTCTAATTTGAGGACTCTGTGAGAGATCAAAATTCACAGCCTCTGGCTCACATCTAGAATACTCTGTTCTGAGGAAAATGATGAAAATCAGTGGGGAAAAAACCCTCCAGGATGGACAATAATGTTCACTGCACATAATTTACCCAGATTAAGACTGTAAACACTCTGAATGCACTGCAGTAAGGGAATAGTTAAGTAAACTATGTTTTATATACAACATGGAATACAGGGAGGCTTACAAATAGATGTTTACAAGGCATGAATAATGATCTGGAAAGATACAAATGTTACAGGAAAAGGCAGAATACACAGTTTGACACTTGACATTCTCCCTGTGCTCCGGTACTGGCTCTCCATGGAGTCTGACTCTTACAGCAGCACACTGGGCCCTCCAATCCAGACATGCCAGTGTTCTCAGCACTGCTGCTTGTATGCTGTGTCTGTTACATATTACAAAACTGCATCACATAAACTTGAATGTACAGGAGATTCTTAGAAAAAAGACTGAAGCTTGGGCATAGTGTCACTTGCCTATAATTCCATCCAGCACTTGGGAGGCAGAGGCAGGTGAATCTCCGAGTTTGAGGGCATCCTGGTCTACGTAGTGAGTTCCAAGTTATGAGACCCTGTCTCAACAACAACAACAAATAAAGTAATAGGAACAATACTGAAGAAAATACCAAGAAAATATCCTCCATTAAAAACAGTGGAGCCAAGGTGAGCTGGGTGGTAGCAGTGGCAGCGGCGCATGCCTTTAATCCCAGCACTCAGGAGGCAGAGGCAGGCAGATAGATCTCTGTGAGCTTCAGCTAAGCCTGGTCTACAGATCGAGTTCCAGGACAGTTAGATCTACACAGAGAAACCCTGTTTCAAACAAACAAAGCAAGCAAACAATTGTGGGACTGGGGAGATTGTTCAGCAGTTAAAAACACTGGCCGGCCAGGCATTGTGGAGCACTCCATTAATCTCAGTACTCAGGAGGCAGAGGCAGGTGGATCTCTGTGAGTTCAATGCCAGCCTGGTCTATAGAGTGAGTTCCAGGACAGGCTCCAAAACAATACAGAGAAGCCCCACCTTGAAAAACAAAACAAAAACAAAAAAGCAAAAATAAAAACAAAAACAAAGCAAACAAACTACAACAACAACAAAAAAACCACAGGCTGCTCTTCCTGAGAACCCAGGTTCAATTCCTAACACCCACATAGCAGTTCACAAGTGGATATAACTCCTGTTCTGGGGTCCCTGAGGCCCTTTTCTGGCCTCCTTGGGCACATGGCACATGCATGGTGTACAGAGATACACGCAGACAAAACACCCACACATATAAAATTTAAAGAAAAAAACCACAGTAGTGATTGGAGATAGGGATGTATCTCAGTGGGTAGAGCACTTGCCTAGCACACAGGAAGCCCTGGGTTTGATTTCCAGCACCACATACCTGTGGAGGCAGTAGAACCACAAGTTCAATGTTATTACTCTATTCAGTAAATTTGAGGCTAACCTGGGATGCACAGGGCCCTGTCTCAAAATAAAACAAAGGCTTCAGTGATTACCTTTGAGTAAGTTGGGGAATATAAATATTTCTTTTTCATGTGTTTTATGTTTTTCTTTGATTGTGCTGCCTTGATAATGGAAAGAAATAAGATAAGCAAAAATTAAACAATTCATGTGCTCTATTTTATCTTCCCTGAAAATGTAAAGCAGTTATCACAGGAATATTTGAATAAGGAGATGTGAGTGTGTATGTATGTATGTGTATGTGTGCATGCACGCACGTACACGCACATGCATGCGCGCCTGTGTGTGTATGTGCGCCTGTGTGTGGTATGCACACTTGTGTGCAGTGTACCTGTGTATGAGTAATAACACTCATACACAAATGCCTGCAAAACATTTATAAAATGACAACTAAGGCTGAGACTGTGGGATGGGTGTTCTCTCCTGCTGAAGAGAAAGCGATCTTGAAGTACCACATCTGAGAGAGTTGGGGGTGGAGCGCTGATGGACAAGAGCTAAGCAGAGGTGTCCCTGTGTTTCTCTTAATACCTGAATGTATTAACACAGGGCTCTAAATGTAATTTGTATACAAATCACTTGAGGGTCTTCTGGCTCAGAAAGTTTAGTGAGCAGCCTACAGAGATGCATCCCTAACAGTTTCCTGGACCACTGAGACTGTGGTACACAGGCTGAGTGAGGAGTCAGGCTTCAAGACCTGACACCCAAAGTAGCAGTTGCATCACTGACTGCAGATGGGGCAGTTTTACTCTCCGTGTCAGGTGGTCTTGAGAGCTCCCTTTTCATTGTTGTTGTTGTTATGTGTGTGCGTGTGTTTGTGTGTGTGTTCGTGCACACACACGTACATGTTTACAGATATGTGGACACAAGCGTGTGAGTGCATGTGGAAGCATGAGGTTGATGTTGGGAATCATCTTTGTCCTTCTATTGTATTCAATGAGGCAGGGTCTCTCAATCAAACTGCTAAGTCTCTAGGATCCATTTCCTCATTCATCACATGATAATAGCCCCATCTCAGAGGGCTGGGAGGAGAAGGAACGACTATAAACAAAGTACTTACAACGTCATTTGTGCACACCAACTACTGTCTGGCAACTTATTCATTATTGTTATTAGCCTTTTCTAAGTTTGAAGAACAGAAGAAATATAGAACATTTGAGGCTTGGTGATTACAAGCAATAAAAGTGTAGCATTTAAACTTCAGGTGCTCATTTTGAATTTTTATATATCACGCTATTAATCACATGATAAATGGATCCTGAAATTGGTTAAGGTCATTATAATTAGTTATGATTTTGAAAAATAGTGCATGGAAAATTTTCATGACTCAAGTGGACTAAGGAATTGTTTATCAACTGTGCATGGGACCTAGTAACAGAAGCACTATTGCCACCTGGTGGCAACATACCAAAATTGTTGGCAAAAGCACCAAAGAAAACTCACCAGTGTTTGTGCAAACTCTAAGAAACTCAATAACTTTAGAATGACACCTCTGGGAAGGAAGCCATGCTGGGTTCTGAGCTCTCCCAATAAGGTAAAAAGGGATGTGTGTGTCTCTTCTGTGGTTGGTGTTGCTCCACCTTCCACCAGCAACCATCCCTCTCAGCAGGGACAAAAGAGCCCCAGTGCAAACAGAGGTTGAGGAGGGAGGCACTTGGGGCCGATGAAGAAGAACATGTGTCAGTCAGGCATGGTGGCATACTCTTGTAAGCCCAGCTCTCAGAAGGCTGAGGCAAAAGGATCACAAGTCAAGGGCAGGCTGGGCAGCATAGTGAGACCCCCACCTCAAAACAAAACAAAGAGCATACCAAGATGAAGGTGGCTGACCGCCTTGCAGAGAGGCTGTTTTCTGGAGAAAGGGTGGTCATGTTCCCCTCTAGCTTTCTTTGGAGTTAGTTGCCTGTGTCCGGATCTCCTGGAGAGCCCGGGAAGGGGAGCTCCCTTTTAGGAGATGAATTGCATTCCCCAAAGGAACAGGGCTTCTGTTGACTTCCCACAGCTAGATGTGTCACAAGGCCCTGGAACTGTCATCATAATGACCTTGGAATACACATTGGAATACACACAGAAGCCAAGGAAGTAAACCTACTTCTCACCCCCCAAAATTATAGTGCACACAGGCTATGCTCTGGAGGTTGGGTTAAGAGAATGCCAGGATCCCATGGGTTGGGCTATCCAGGGCAGCCTTCCTGGAAGAGGTGAGCTACAAGTCCCTTTTCCATGTCGCTGGCCTTCCCCTTTGTTTTACCAGACCAGTACCAGAGCTAAGTGATAACTATCGTCAGAACCTCAGATTTAGGGAGGACTTCCCAAAATGCCAAATCAGTGTGCCTGTTCTGGGGGCTAGAAGCAGATTTTTTAAGTGTACTTAGGGAACTAAAATTTAGTGTTTGAATAGTGGTTCCTGGTGTGTGTGTGTGTGTGTTGTGGTGTGTGTGTGTGTGGTATGTATGTTTGATGTGGTATATGTATGTATGTGGTATATGTATATGCAGTATGCAGTGTGTGTATGTGTGGTATGTGTTGTGTGTGCTATGTATGTGTGCGTGGTGTGTGTATGGTGCATATGGTTTGTGTGTGGTGTTTAGTGTGTGTTTAGTGTGTATGTATGGTACGTATGTATATGGTGTGTGGTATGTATGTGTATGATGTGTGTGTGTGTATGTATGTATGTGTATGTGTGTGTGTGTATGTATGTATGTGTATGTGTGTGTGTGTGTGTGTGTGTGTGCGCGCGTGTGTGGTTTGTATGTACTTCTGGACACCAGAGGAGTGTCTTCAGTCTCTCCACCTTACTTTTTGAAACAGATTTCTTAATCAACCTGGCTAGACTGGCTGGTCAGTGAGCTCCAGTGATCCATCTGTTTCCGTCCCTGGTGCTGGGGTTACAGATGCACACAGCTGTGCCTGGCTTTTTGCTTGGGTGCTGGAGATCCAAACGCAGTGTGTCATGCTTGCACACAAGCACTCTGTCCATTGAGCCACCTCTCCAGCCCTCTGTTTCATTTACCTGTACACCCACAGTATGGTCTTGACCGAACTAAGACAGTTGGTTTGAGTACCAGCTGAATGAATGATTCAATGGAACAGGAATAACTGATGCTGCCAGGTGTAGTGGCACACACCTTTAATGCCAACGCCTGCTAGTTCCAGGTCAGCCTGGTCTACACAGTGAGTTCTAGGACAGCCAGACCTGCATAGTGAGACCCTGTCTCACAGAAAACAAACAATAACTAACACTATCTTGGAGTTCACGCCCTTTTCTGTGCCTTGTAGTTGTCCCTCTCCCCTCTTACCCCGATTTCCTTTAGACAGGGTCAATGTCTGATTATTGTGTTTATTCCTCCAATACTCTACCCCACCACCCCAGCAAGCTTCCTGGTGCCTGGTAAATGCTGTTAAATGGATCTGAAAAGGCAGTGCCTCTTGGCTCCAGAGTTAAGTTCTCTACCTCTAACATTGCTTGCCTTTCTATTTAGGTCCATTCTGACTGGAAAACATTTTTAGTCATTACACAAACCAAATTGCAGTCAGGAGATCCAAGGTGTAACTTGGAGTCTGACCTCAAATTTGGATGCTACTGATCCCTTCGATTCCCCAGCCATGAAAACAAAACACAATCAACCTCTGCCTTTCATATCCTGATTAACTGAATTGTACATACAGAAGTCTTGGGTGGACACAATTTCATTGTCTCCTTGCCTGTTACTGTTCTGCTGGCTGAAGGCACCACAGGAAGTCTCCGAGAGGCCCTGCCCTCTCCTCCCTCTGCTTTCCAACCATAAATAGGAGGATACCAAGGGCCTCTTCACCTTAGCCTGCTGCCCCAAGTCTTCCCAGAGCTGGAGAGGTGGGCAGCACCAGTAGGAACCTAGTGGAATACGAATCCACTCCTTGTACATCACAGCAGCTTCATTTAGAGGTCTGTGAGGTTTCCAAGTCAAATGCATGGAGCAGGAGACACAGTGTGGGCGTTCCGAGCGAGCATGAGGATGATGGATGCCTCTGCTCCTCCACATTAGCAATGCATGCTGCGTAGAATTAACTGCAAGCTTCCCTGAGAAGAGAACTGGGCAGAGAAGAGTTGGAACGATCTGAATGCTAAATGCAACTTGGTTTCTAAAATGAATGTGGTGGACATAGATCATCTGCTGAACTTCCTTTGACCTTCGGTTCCCTGGGTGCAAATGCTGGGTCATAACTCTTCAAATTAGCCAGCCCAGTCTACTCATATTACTGAAACCTGGGAGAAACATTGCAGGGGCTTTGTATTCAAACAGAATCCAAGGACCCACACAGGACATAAATGCCTAAATCTGACCCACACCTCTTTTCAGATACTTTCCAAACAATGTATTTATTTGTGTATGTGAGTGTGTATTCATGCATGTGTGTGCACAATTGTGTGTGTATGCACAGACAGAATAAGGCATGGGATGTCCTCTATTACCACCCATCTATTCCTTTAAGGAAGGTTCTTTCCTTAAACCTGGGCCTCCCACTTTCTCCCTTAGCCTAAAAGCCAGCAAGCCCAGACTCCTCTCCTGTCCTACCCCCCACTGCGTGGCTGGGGTTACAGGTGTGCACCAAAAGCCCAGTTTGTTATGTGGGTGCTGGGATCAAATTCCTGTCCTCATGACTGTGCAGCAAACACTCAACTGCTGAGCCATCTTTCTGGTCTCCTTTGCAGAGTCCTACCAGCCATTCACATCTGGGGCTAAACAGTCTGTGAGTCCATTTTCATATATAATTGCCAAAAATTTGGGGTATCAGGTTATTATTTTTCTTTCATGTATTTCTTTCTCCCCTCCTCTCACCCACTCTGCTCTCTCCCCTCTCCTCCCTCTCCTCCTTTCTCCTCTCCCCAACCCCTGACCCCCGGCATCCAGCTTTCTGCTTTAAATGTCTGTGCATGGAGATATTTCAGGGTAAGAAAGCCATGGGTTCTGAAATTCCATTCTTGGGGTCAGCATTACAGACTGTCACCTAAGCCATCATTTTTTCCCCTCAGGAATCTGTTAGCTGATGGGCTGCATTGATGAAGAGGGAGGGGGCCTTCCAGGGATCAGGAGGCTCTCATCTTTCAGACTTTTGCCTTCTTGGTTTTGTTTTGTTTTGTTTTGAAATAGTATGTCTTTGACCTGAAATTCTCTAAGCAGGCTGGGCTTACTAGCCAGCAAGCCCAGGGGTCTCTACCTATGCCTGCCTCCCCAGCACAAAGAGTGTAGGTGTGTGTCACCACACACAGATCTTGTTACTTGGGGAGGAGTGACTGAACTCAGGTAAGAAAGTTCTTGGGTTGTGGTGCCAGGGACACTTGTGTCCAAATTCAGAGGCAGCTTCACCAACAACTTGACCTTAGTCCCAGTGGTAGGGAATAATGACAAGTTTCCTTTGACTGCTGCTCAGCTTCAGGAAAGTGGCCTGGGCCAAAACCCCTCTCCTCCCAAGAGAAAAAGTACAGTAAGGGCATGTGGAGTACATGGCTTTCTTGCAACCATCTTTTCCCTGTTCCGGGCCCGCAGCACACTCCTTTGTTCTGCTTAAGCTTGTACACCATGTGGCTCCTAGCCAGCCCCACCCCCATCCTTTCCAGGTGGCAAGGGAACGAAGCCTCTACCTGCAGTACAGAAGGCTATGTGAAGGTCATCCCCCTGTGTTGGTGGCAGACTGAGACCCCTGGTCACAGGGGGACAAACACCCACTGTTGAAGTCACTCTTGTTCTGTCTCTTCTCTGTGTGACTAAAGCGTGACTCCATCTGGTGCTGGGTGACTTGTGTGTTTCTTGGCGACACCTGCCAGCCGTGGAGTGGGTTGACACCCTGAGCCTGCTGCTCCTGGCAGCAGGCATTGTTGTGCCATTTGCCATCTTCCACACAATGGGACTCCTCCCGGGAGGCGGAGCAGAAGTCATTCCTTTGACACCTCTTACCCTGTGTGAATCTCAGTATCCTCCGTTGCCTGGGAGGAAGGGGGGATGGTAATGCCTGTTGGGCCTGAAGGATAAATGGAGCAGTGTCTGCACAGAGCCCAACGTGGCTGACAAGCACAGTGGCACCAGCAGCCAGTTCAAACTGCACCCCCAGCTTCACCATTGGTATCCTCTATGCCCAGGGCTTGTCCATAAAAACACCACAATCAAGACTCAATCAAGATACCACCTGATTCCATGAGGCTTGTAGTAACATCTGTGCCCACGTTCAGAGATCCGATAAACCTGCCAGTCTCTGTTCCTCTACATGTGCCCATGAACCAAAGAGTCCAGACTTACTGAAAAAAGCAGTAAGGCCAATGTAAGGAACCAAGTTGGCTTGCATTCCCTTTGTGGCAACACCTCATGATACAACTCTGAAACGTCACTCAGTTGACTCTTTGTTAATAGTGCCAGCCCCTTTAAAGTATGCATACCAGGACCCTCGGGGTCTGGGACAGTCGAGTGCTCCGTCTAAATCATGCACACCGAAGATGTTTTTCTGTACTTTTCTCTTCGCCCCTCTTTGTGGGGAGCCAGGATAAGTTTAGATTTTGGGTGTCAGGCTTTCTGCCCTCACCCCCACAGAGCGGGGTATTTCTGACAGTGCTGGAGATGGCTGTATGTCATGTGTCACCTGTATGATAGGAACAGGGGCGAGGGTGGAGCGGGTGGCAGCAGCATTCTTCTGAGCACTGAGATGGTTGGGATCTCCCCAGAGCCAGAACCACCATCCACACTGTGCTTCTACTGCGCTACCTGGGGTACCTAGGGGTTATTTGTTGTATTTTGGGTCACCTCCTAGTTCTTGGGGAGCTCACCTGCCAGCCTACTGTCTACAACACTAAAAATGACCCACGGGAACCCTTCCAGATAATAGCAAGCTGGGGTGACAATTCTTTGAGTTCCTTACTGTCCCAGAGGACTTTGCTACCAGAGCCCCATAGAGAGGGAAGCTGGTACAATCCTCTGGAAGCTGCGCACATGGCAATGACGGGAATGGGGGTGGGGTGGTGAAAG